TATGAACTGTAGACCCTTGGACAGAGACACTAAACACTAATCCGGGGCGCTGGGGTCCGGGAGAAGTACAAAAGGCCCAGGCCGTTGTACGCTGCCAAACCCTAAACCCTAAACCCTACACCCTAAACCCTAAACCCTAAACCCTAAACCCTAAATAGCCCTGAAGCCTGAACTCTAAACCCTAAATGCTAGGCTTTGGGTCCCGAAGAAATATAACAGGCCAACCCCGTTGTACGCTGCGCGTAAACCCTAAACCCTAAACCCTAAACCCTAAACCCTAAACCCTAAACCCTGTTCTTTGAACGCAGAAAGCAGAAGAAAGTATGCAGCAGCCGCAGTAAAGACCCGTGAACGGTAAACCCTAAACCCCAAGCCCCAGACCCCAATCCCTGAATCCTAAACCGCAAACCCCAAACCCTAAACCCTAAACCCTAAACCCTAAACCCTAAACCCTAAACCCTAAACCCTACCGATGGGGTCCTCGTTCTCTGTGGCCCCTCTGAAAAACCATTCTGCTGCTTCATTTAAGTCCTGCTCCACTCCGAGGCCCAAAGCGTAAATATAACCCAAAAGCCCTTTTGCTTCCCCCCTGCATGCAAACACAACCTGCTGCTGCTGCTGCTGCTGCTGCTGCTGCTGCTTCTGCTGCTGCTGCTGCTGCTGCTGCTGCAGCTGCTGCTGGTGCTGATGCTGGTGCTGGTGCTGGTGCTGGTGCTGCTGTTGCTGCTGCTGTTGCTGCTGGTCCAGTGCTGGTGTTGCTGCTGCCAGTGCTGCTGCTGCTGCTGCTGCTGCTGCTGCTGCTGGTGCCAATGCTGCTGCTGGTGCTAGTGCTGCTGCTGCTGCCGATGATGATGATAATCGTGCTGCTACCGGTGCTGGCCGTACTGTTGCTGCTGCTGCTGCTGCTGCTGCTGCTGCTGCTGCTGCTGCTGGTCTCTGCTGCTGCTGCCGCTTCTGGCAGTCAAAAGCGAAAACTCTGCAGCAGCAGCTGCTGCTGCTCCTGGCATCGACCTCCGTGCATGCGCCCTTAAACCCTAAACCCTAAACCCTAAACCCTAAACCCTAAACCCTAAACCCTAAACCCTCACTTCCAGCTGCTGCTAGCCGCCATCAAGTGGTATTTGGCCTTTGCGAAGTTTTGGGGAAATCCGTCCGTCCCAAATAAGTACTTCCGGCCCAGCACCGCGTGCACCTGAACAAACCCTAAACCCTAAACCCTAAACCCTAAACCCTAAACCCTAAACCCTAAACCCTAAATCCTAGAGAGCTTAAAACTGGGCGTCGACAGATGAAACGCCTCATCTCTCCGCAGCTGCTCCCGTGCTGCTGCTGCGCGCAGCTCTCAGCAAGGCCTAGGGTTTAGGGTTTAGGGTTTAGGGTTTAGGGTTTACAGCGACGTTGCCCTCTTCTGCTTCGTGCAGCAGCATTGTGAGCTGCTCAGGGTCTGCACTCAGCCGCTGCTGCTCGCTGTCTTCTGTGGGGCCTGCTGCTGCTGCTGCTGCTCCTGTTGCTGCTGCTGCTGCAGCAGCAAGCCGCAGCACCTCCACAGCTTGGGGGATTCCGCTCGCGTACGCCTGCGCAAACCCTAAACCCTAAACCCTAAACCCTAAACCCTAGGCCCTGAAGGTGGGCTTCAGGCCTGGGCTTCGGAGGAGCCAAACCCTAAACCCTCGGGGGTCTAGGGTTTCGCGTGGCCGGCGTAGAGCTGCTAGGGTTAGGGTTTAGGGTTTAGGGTTTAGGGTTTAGGGTTTACTGAGGCTGTGGCCTTGGCGATGGGGAGGTAGTGGTTTGCTGCTGCTGAACAGGCCTGCTGCTGCTGCCCCACGGAGCCGTCAAGAGCAGCAAACCGCTGCCGCCAAGCAGCAGCAGCAGCAGCAGCAGGATGAGCAGCAGCAGCAGCAGAATAGATGTACAGCAGCGGCAGCGGAGGGTTTAGGCTGAAGTCGGGGGCCGACAGCAGCAGCTCCATGGCTTGCCCCACAGTTTGCTGCTGACCAGCAGCAGCAGCAGCAGCAGCAGCAGCAGCAGCAGCAGGAGCAGCAGCAGCAGCAGCAGCAGCAGCAGCAGGGGGGGGCCCCCTGCTGCTGGCGCCAGACCACGACCAGGGGCCCCCCCCACGGATCCAGGCGAGGGTTTCCGTCAGCCGCTGCCAAACCCTAGCAGCAAACCCTTCGGTTTGCTGCTGCTGCTGCTGCAGCTGCTGCAGCAAACCCTTGAGGGGCCCCAGGGGGCCCCAGGGCTCTGGGATCGGCCGATCCCCAGAAAAGAAAGAAAGCGAAAAGTCTTTGTTGACAACAATTCGCAAGGGTTTCTCCAGTTCTGCGCGCAAACCCTAAACCCTAAACCCTAAACCCTAAACCCTAAACCCTAAACCCTAAACCCTGGGCGTGCGGCCGCAGACGCCCGCGCGGCCAGCCAGCTACGCGGCCGCCGCGGGGAGCCGACGAGGGTTTAGTTATCAGGGTTTAGGGTTTAGGGCTAGGGTTTAGGGCTAGGGTTTAGGGTTTAGGGCTAGGGTTTAGGGTTTAGGGCTAGGGTTTAGGGTTTAGGGCTAGGGTTTAGGGTTTAGGGCTGGGGTTTAGGGCGCGGGCTGTGCCTGAGCAGGCGGCAGCTCGGGCGCCGCCGCAAGGGCCTAGGGTTTAGGGTTTAGGGTTTAGGGTTTAGGGTTTAGGGTTTGCGGGCCTTGGCGGGGGGGTTCTTTCGGCAGCAAATAAATGTTTTGATGCAGCACTCCCAAGAAGTACTGAGCCTCAGCACTTCCTGCTGCTGCTGCTGCCCACAGCAGCAGCAGCGACTGCAGCAGCAAACGCTGCTGCAGCGGGGGCCGCCCCAAGAAGTAGAAAATCGCCAGTTCGTACTGGCACCTGCAGCACAAACCCTAAACCCTAAACCCTAAACCCTAAACCCTAAACCCTAAACCCTGGACTGGGCAAAAGAGGGGGCTCGGGGGGGTGCCGGGCGGCAAACCCTAAACCCTAAACCCCCGACGCTGCAGCGCCGCGGCACCTCCTGGCCGCGCCTCATCCTGCATCGAGGGTTTAGGGTTTAGGGTTTAGGGTTTAGGGTTTACCTGGGGTCTGTGTCAGCGCACGCTGCCAGCTTGTGAAAGACAGCAGCAGACTTCCGAGGCAGCAAAGAGAGAGGCTCTCTAAACCCTAGCGGCAGAGAAGCCTCAGCAAATCTGTCCTTGAGGCTGCTGCTGCTGCTGCTGCTGCTGCTGCTGCTGCTGCTGCTGCTGCTGCTGCTGGGGGTTGGGGGTGTGGCAGCAGCGGGCTTTGCTGCGGAGGCGGGGGGCGGATCAGCAGCAGCAGCAGTTGCTGCTGCTGCTGCTGCTGCTGGTGGCTGCTGCCCTGCTGCAGCTAGCCACTCCTCCACTGCAGCAAGAGCTGCTGCTGCTGGGGGCTCTACTGCAGCAGCAGCAGACAGAAAATGCGGCAGCAGCAGCAGCAGCAGCAGCAAACTGAGGGGCCCCAGAAGGGGCCCCAGGGGGGCCCCCCTCGGGGGGGCCCCTCCAGCGCGAAAAGGCCGTGCACCCATTTTGGGTGCTACGCCAGTGCTGCAGCGGCGGGGGCCCCTATTGCTGCTGCTGCTGCTGCTGCTGCTGCTGCTGCTGCTGCTGCTGCTGTCTTTGTCTTTAACGCGCCCATTATGCGGCGCGGAGCAGCAAGAGAAACCCCAGGAAGGTGGGGGGCCCCAAGAAGAGTAAAAGGAGAAGAAGAGAGGGGCCCCAAGGGCTGGAGGTGGCTGTTGCTGCAGCAGACAGCAGCAGCAGCAGCAGCAGCAGCAGCAGCAGCAGCAGCTGGAGCTGCAGCGGCGGTCGGAGCAGCAGCAGCAGCCCTGAATCGCACGGTACTGTAGTGTCCCAGGTGAAAGCGCAGGAACGTGTTGACTCGAGGGTTTAGGCTTTGGGATTAGGGTTTAGGGTTTAGGGTTTAGGGTTTAGGGTTTAGCGTAAAGGGTCAGGGGCCCCGCCGCCGCCTCCCGTCGGGCCTGCATGCGGCAGTGGTTTTGTCTGTCCTCGCCATCCCAAGCGAGTTTAAGAACCAAATTAAATTAAATTAAATTAAATTAAATTAAATTAAATTAAATTAAATTAAATTAAATTAAATTAAATTGAATTAAATGAACAGATCCATGGGGGTGTGCATACACCGCAGATCTTGCGGCACTGCCTTTCGGCTGTCCATACACCTCAAGTGCTCGTTCGCGTTCACCTCCAAAACGGCAAATTTGGGAACAAATTAGTCCATTTTTGATGCAATTAATTATTTATTTATTCATTTTTTACATTTAAATTCACTTTTATTTCCAATTCTTCTTTATTTCCCGGTTTTACACTCTTTCTTGGGCAGCTGTAGATACACCTCACCGCCGCAGCGCCCTCCGCCACTACACTCGCCAAGAAATGGAAAGCAAGCAGATCTATTTATTTATTTATTTATTTATCTATTTATTTATTTATAATTAATAAATATAATTACTAACATGTCGGGAAGTTTTATGAACAAATCAAGAGCAGCTCCCCCTGAGACTTCATTGTAGGCCAAACCCCCAGCAGGGGTTCGAGTCTAGGGTTTAGAAAACCACAATTTAGGGTTAAGAATTAGGCCGTCCGCTGCTGCTGCTGCTGCTGCTGCTGCTGCTGCTGCAGGATGTAACTTGAGACAAGAACTAAACGGAGAGTCTGCAACTCCACCACCCAAACCCTAATTTAGGTTTTACAGCTGCGCAGTTGTCGACCTCTGCATGCACTATCTAGGGTTTAGGGTTTACTGCTGCTGTTTCGGTTTATTCCCCATTAAATATGCTTGTTCTTTTGTGACGGTCAAATATCAACTCGTTAAACCCTAAACCCTAAACCCTAAACCCTAAACCCTGGCGGAAAGAGTGGCTACTCCAAGCCGCTGTGCGGGCCTGTGGGCGTGCGCGGGCGTCAAACCCTGATTTAGGGTTTTGGTAAGAGCTGGTTGTATGGGTCGCTGTGTGGTGTGCGGAGCGCTCGCGAGCATGGCGTTGGTGCCAAACCCTAAATTAGGGTTTAGGGTTAGCACGTGGGTTTGCCGCGGCGCGAATTCGGGGTTTCGCGCGTTGTGTCTGCGTGGGCGGCGCAAACCCTAATTTAGGGTTTAGGGTTTGGGGAGGCCGCCGGGGCCGCGAAACCCTTTCTTAGGGTTTGGAGGCTCAGTCGATGCTGACTGTCTTCTTCTCGGAACTGGCCTTGGGGTCACTTGTGGAAATTCGAACAAATAAAACTCCATTTTCAAAAACTGCACTTATTGCATCTTCTATTGCATTTGGCGGCAGTTGAAAACTTCTGCAAAAAGTCCCGAAGTTCCTTTCCCGCAGCAAACTCTTCATCGTTTCCTCAGAGTCCGCAGCAGGCCGCGGGCGCTCCCCTGCAGCAGCAGCAGCAGCAGCAGCAGCAGCAGCAGCAGCAGCAGCAGCGAACCCTAAACCCTCGGTAAGACCTTCGCAAACCCTAGGCGAGCCCCGGCCCGCCCGGCCACTGCGCAGACCCTCCATGAAGACAAAATTCAAACCCTTCCTCCACCAACAGCAGCAGCAGCAGCAGCAGCAGCAGCAGCAGCAGCAGCAACAGCAGCAGCACCGCCACCACCTAGCTCACTCCCGCTACAGCAGCAGCAACAGCAGAAGCAGCACCCCCACCCCCATCCCCAGCACAGCAGCAGCACCAACAGCAGCAGCAGCACTCCCATCGCCTCCCACCC